AGAGTATAAAGAGCAAGAAAATTCAACACAGAATTTTATCCTGGTTCGATTCAAAAGAATCTACGTCCAGTTGTTAATCACTATAAAAAGTGATTAACGTTTTCACTAAAAATCAGTTTAAGATTGCCTCATCAGATTTAGCATCAAATTTACCTAGATATCTTTACCATTATTCAAAACAAAACTTTGCATCCAAAGATTTTCAAATGAGATACATTTGGTTTTCTACCGTTAAAGTTCACAGGGAGTTAGCTTAAGAATAGGCCTAATTAGCATTCTGTTCAACATGTAAAAAGCAATAAACTGCATCAGCCCAAAAGTATTTTGGCACATTAGATCATTGAAAAGAGTCCTAGCTAGTTCTTCTAAGACCTATTTTTCCTTCACAACACCATTTGTTGGGGAGTTCTTGGAGCAGAAAAATTATGAGCAATTCCATGTTCTTCACAAAAACTTTCAAAAGATTCATTTTCAAATTCACCATCGTGATCACTTCTCAAGGTTTTGATTTTTAATCCTTTTCATTTCGAAAACGTTTTGCAAATGATTTGAATGCTTTAAAGCTTCACTTTTCAAGGTAAAAAAATGTCCAAGTAAATCTAGTGTATCATCAAAATCACAAAAGCATAGTAGTTTCCACAAAAACTTTTAATTCTAGATGGACCAAAGAAGTACATATGCAAAGTTCTAAAGGTTTTGATGTTGAAATCATGTTTTTAGATGAAAATGAGGATTTGGTTTGCTTTCCCCTTTGACAGCAGAACATATTTGTCTTCTCAAATTTTAAATTAGGCAAACCAATCACAAGATCTTTTGAAATCAATTTATTTAAATGTTGCATATGAATATGTGCAGCTCTTTTATGCCATAACCAAGGATTTTCCTCTTTAGCAACTAAACATGTTATACTATGACTAGATGCACTTTCAATATCAATCAAGTAAATGTTATTATGCCTAACCCTTGCAAAAAAATTTCAGTAGAATTTTTAAAATATATGGTGCATCTATCACTTTCAAAGGTTACCTTGAGACTCTTGTCACATAATTGACTTATGCTTAGGAGATTGTGTTTGAGACCTTCAACACTAATACGTCCTTTATAGTGAATGTGTTTCCTCCTCCAATGTCTCCAGTTCCAATGATTCTACCTGTTGTTATCTCCATAGGTCACAAATCCTTGCTTCTTCTTCTCAAAAGATATAACTTTTCTTGTCACCGATCATGTGTCTTGAACAACCACTATCAAGATACCACAGTGACTTCTTTGACTTAGTAAGTTCCTACAAAACAAATTTGGAGCAAGAATTTTAGGTCCCCAATCTTATATGGGTCCTGGGGTTAGTTTGTGCAAACATACATCATTTACAATTTTAACCCATGCATATTTACCATTTGGAACACCAAAATGTTTGATGTTGCACTGTTTGAGGTGTGACCAAGTTTCATGCAGTAAAAACAACAGCCTCATACACTTTATTTTTCACAAAAGTCCCTTTTCTACCAAGCTCTACGAGTTCTTATCACTTAGACTTTTGTGTAGATGCGTGTTTTCCACTTCTAGCATTGCTTCCTCAAAGTTTGTTTTGACATGGACTTAGACCTAGTTGCCTTTGCAAGTAAATTCTCAAGAATGTCAACATCAAACATATGACTTTTACACGATAGACATTCAACAGGTTGTACAAACAACAATCAGATTCAAATAACCTAGTTTCTAGATTACTAACTTTGTTTCTCAAAACACTTCGACATCTAGTACTTTTCATACTTCCATTTCAATTCATTATGCTCTTTCTTTAACTTTTTATGAGAACATCAAGTTTTTTCATATTCATTTAACAAATCAAGAAATGCCTTTGTAAATCAAATTCATCACTTGACTCTAAGCTAGAATCACTTACTTGGCTTCCTGCATCTTCTGTGTCTACCATTAAGCACAAATTAGCTTCTTCATCTGAATCGCTTGAACTTGAAGAACTAGAAGCATTCTCTTCCCAAGCTATGTAAGCTTTCTTCTTCTTTGAAATTTCTCTCCTTCTTTTTTCACTTTTCCTATTCTTAGGACAGTCAGTCTTCACATGTCCTCTTTCTCCACATCCATAGCATTTAACGCTTGATGGAGATCCTTGATTTTCTTCCTTTCTCACGGTATTTGTCTTTTCCCTTTGCTTTCATAAATTTAGCAAACTTCTTAGTCATAAGACTCATATTTTCCTCATCGTCATTGGAATCATCGTCCTCAATTCTCTTGGAACTTTTTCCTTTTGAGATTTCAGACTTGAAGGCAAGCGTTTTGTTTGCCTTGATCCTCTTGCAGTTAATCTCTCAGCTCAAGCTCATGCTCACGAAGTTTTCCCAAAGAGAATCGCCATTGACATTTGAGTGAGGTTTTGAGACTCCGAGATGGCAGTCACCTTTGGTTGCCAAGACTTCTAATGATTTCAATATTTTCACATTCAATTCATCAGTGTCAAAAGTCTTACCCAACCGTCAGGTGGTTCACAATGTGAGTGAAACACTTCTGGACATAAGATATGTTTCTCTAGGCTGCATTCTGAACATCTCATACTTCTGAATGAGTGGTTTCTTCCTTGCAATTTCACGTTGCTGTACATCATGTGTGACTCTAAGGACCTCCCATATCTCCTGTGCTGTCTTACAGACTAAAATTCTATAAAATTCATCAGTACTACAACAGATGAAATAATATTACGAGCCTTAATATCAAATTGGGCTCTTCTATTTCCTCAGGAGTCCAATTAAAGTATGATTTTTCTACTTCTACACCATCAACAGTTCTTTAGGATATGAGGGACCATTTAGCACAGCTTCCCAGATGCCTCTGTCAACAGACCCCATAAAAATTTCCATTCTAACTTTCCAGAAGGCATAGTTATCACCAGTAAAAAGAGGTGGTCTGTGATGGATGCACCCTCAGCAATATACTTGATTTGATGACCGGCCATTTTCGCAACAGTTTGAAAAAATATCAAAGCAAGCTTGATACCAATTGTCGGAACAATCGGTACCGTTATAGAGTCACGCAGCGGAAAAATATTAGTAAAGTGTGTTATGGTCACAAATCAAGTTTTGATTGTCCGTTTTAGAAAAACACATTTCTTAGAGAAAATTTATCAAACAATTGATATGCATAAAAGTAAAGAGTATAAAGAGTAAGAAAATTCAACATAGAATTTTTATCCTGGTTCGATTCAAAGAATCTACGTGAGTTGTTAATCACTATAAAAAGTGATTAACGTTTTCACTAAAAATCAGTTTAAAGATTTACAATAGAGTGAATAAAAAGAATGATAAAAACCTTCCTTCGACGAACGACCGGAAGGGTAATCTGCACTTTCCTTCGACAAACGAACGGAACAGCGCAGATTAAAAATCTTCCTTCAACAGACGAACAAGAAGATGACCACCTTGCCAACTCGAAGAGAACCGCTCCGACTATCGACACATGAAACGCGAGCTTCTCACTATTCACGAGACCAGGCAAAGCACTTGAGCTAGCTTTTTTAGAACTTCCTCAGACAAATGATTCTTAAAAAGCTCAGAATCATTTTCTAAGAGTTTTGGAACTACCTTATATAGCCAAAGGTCTAAGTTCGCAGAGATGAATTATAACTGCACAGATAATCGATTATTGTTAGTGATAATCGATTATTTGAGTCCGTTACAGGGTTTTTCAAAAGTGATAATCGATTATCTGAGGAATAATCGATTATTCCAGAGACTTTGGCAGTTCTCATCAGAGCTAGTGATAATCGATTATTTGTAGTAATCAATCGATTTTCCAGAGCAATGAGGTTTTTCAGGAAGGGCTCAGGATAATTGATTATAGCTTCTAATAATCGATTAAATGGTAACAGTTCTAGAAATACGAATTTTTCTAAGTATTACATGTTTAGGACTTTTTCTAATACATTTATAATCTACAAAGTGCTTTAAAACAATTAAACAATCTATCGTCTTTCAGCATCATCAAAAAATTATCTTCAAATTTACCAATGCTTCTCATTGGTAAATATCTCCCCTTTTTGATTGATGATCAAAAATCACTTTTTAAAAGCAACTTTGGGTTATCTGCAAAAGATACAAACTGACATACAACAATAAGAGTTAGTAGTAACTGCACATATTTCTCCCCCTTTTTATCATAAGCAAAAAGAGTTATAATGCTCCCCTTAATATGAGCTCCCTTATATAAGCTCCCCCTCAATTAGACAGTGTATGCACTAAAACAATAGATCATTTATTGATGAAAACATTAATGAATAAAGTACTATTCGGAAATGTACGTGTTTTCTTAGAAAAGTTTATAGCTTTTTAAATAAATTTAAAGAGTCTAAAGATAGTACATATTATTAAAAGATAAGTATATTTAATGATAAGATGAACATATAAGAGAGAGAAAGAAATAGGCACAGAGTAGTATAGAAAAAAAAATGCAGAATTCTTTATTACATCATTAAAATATTTAACTCGGGTTTTTTTGTGAATGTAGGAAAATAAATTTTATTGGTGCAATTATAAAAATACGAAATTGACATTTTTTAAAAGAGAAACGAAGTTGAATTTAGGAACTAAATAAATAATTAAACTAAATTAAAATATCTTCCGATTATTGAATGAAAAATAAATGGGTTAGGCTTTTTTTGCCATATTTTTTTAGTTATTAGTCATGATCATCATGTCTTTTTTTAGAAAAAAAACAGTCATATCCTCGTTCTAACAATAAAGTGCTCTGTATAAACGGTGACACTTACCATAGCCTAACATAATTGTTTGGGACTTTGTATTGTTGAGTGTCCATTATATGATGGCAACAGAGAGAGTGCTTCACATGAATGGTGGTGAAGGAGAAACCAGCTATACCAAAAACTCCTTACTTCAGGGTATTATCTCTTTCATATATATATTACTATATATATATATATATATATATATATATATATATATAATAATCATATTCAATGTTATAAGAAGGTAACCCAAGTTAAATTTGGTGTAGAGAAAAGTGACAAGCATGGTGAAACCTATACTTGAAGATACTGTAAAACTGTTGATGTCAAAGACAAGTTCAGAAAGGTGTTGGAAAGTAGCAGATTTGGGATGCTCTTCCGGACCAAATTCACTCTTATTTGTGTCAAATATGTTGAGCATAATGGATAATGTTAACCTGAGCTTAAACCAGCGTACGCCACGTGTATTGCAAATTTACATGAATGATCTATTTGGAAATGATTTCAATAGCATCTTCAAGTTGATCCCCGACTTCTTCCAAAGAATACATGAAGAAAAAAACGACAACCATGTACGATGTTTTATTCATGCAACACCTGGAAGCTTCTACGGAAGACTTTTTCCTGATGATTACATCCACTTCTTTCATTCTTCTTACAGTCTTCACTGGCTATCACAGGTCAATTATATTCAATGATATATTTAAGAAATTAACATCATTTCATTTTAACTGCATGTGCTTGTGTTTCATTCTATATCGACCATGATATTTTAACAACTATTTTTAACAATTTTTTGACAACAAACGATGTGTCACTATTTTATTGATCTGCATATTTGAAACAGACCAATCACAAACTACCACATAGGTTGTTGTTAAAAAGTTGTCAAAAAAAGTTGTTAAAGAGACATTTTCCATTCTATATATACAATTGAATTTACGAAAGTTAAAATGTTGCCATGGTATCATGCAGGCACCAAAAAGCTCGAGAAACACAGACGAACCACTCAACAAGGGAAATGTTTATATAACAAGTACAAGCCTTCCTTCCATCCGTGAAGCATACTTTAGCCAATTTGCAAATAATTTCGAACTTTTTCTAAAATCACGTTCAGAGGAAGTAAAGTCAGATGGTATTATGGTACTTACATTCATCGGTAGAGATGAAACCCATAAAATTGGTAATCCTGCAGAGGTATTTGGAATGGTACTCAATGACATGGTCCAAGAGGTAAGCCATGAGGTCTGATAGATGATTATCCAAAAGTGAACCAACTCATCAAAATAGCAGTTGTATTATTGTGTATGTGTGTCAGTCATTTCAAAGCCAAGAATATCACAAACCACTAACTTCGCTTTATAATTATTTTCCTTTTGCTTTCATATCGGACATTAGAATTCCACAACGAAAAGTACACGTGTCAGTTTTAAAACTGTGATTTAAAACCAGAATTTACGCTAAATTTTATAACAATTTATATGTTGTCATAGCAAGGTTGTATTTTATTATTTTATCATTTATTTGACTTGTTTAGCATTGCCTGTACTCCCTGTAGTGTATGTTTTGTTCTTGCTAAAGCCAGAATTTTGAAAGACTCTAGAGACCAGCAATAGGAAAATAAGGTTGCTTTATTTATTTTTTGTGATTGGTAGGGTCTACTTGAAGAGAAAAAATTAGACTTCTTTGATCTACCTATATATGGTCCCACTGCTGAAGAAGTTAGACAAGTGATTGAAGAAGAAGGATCCTTTGCCATTCAAACATTGAGGACTTTCAACATAGGTTGGGATGCAAATCTTCACGAGGATGTCGATGATTCTATACTTGATAGCAAAATGAAAGGAGAGTTCGTAGCCAAGTCCATTAGAGCTGTTTTTGAACCTCTTTTGTCAGTTGAGTTTGGGGAAGATACCACGGATGAATTGTTCAAAAGATTTGAAAAGAAAGTTTCCCAACTCATTGAATTTCAGACTTTGGAGTATACTAATGTGTCACTGTCCATGGTCAAAGTTTCTTGAAGATATATATTTTGTTGGGTTAATTATAATCAAATGTTTTGGATGAGTTAGTTATTTTGGATTTTTACTATAATGTTTTGAGTTAAATATTCAATTCATTGTAACTTTATATTTCTTTATAGGAGAAACTTTCATTATGTTAGTTTAGTAGCCTTGTAACTGTGGAGTCTTATCTATTTAGTTCTATAATTACTATTTTTGATATCAATAATGTATTATCAAAAAGCATAACGTAAAAACTTAACGATTTTAAAATAATTACGTAATATACAAAATTAAAGAATTAAATATGTTTTCAGTTTTAATTTTTAGTACAAATTAGAATTAATATATTTTTTAAAATTTTGATTCAATTTAATTCTTTAATTTTAGGAAATACATAAATTTTATTATTTTAACTAAATTTTATTAAATTTACCCGTTTTTTAGAAAATAAAAAATATATTAAATTACATAATTTTTTATTTATTTAAAGTGAGAGCTCTCCTCCAAATTCAATGACATGAATGGCCGTATGTACTTTTTTTTTTTTATAAGATTTGACTCTTGAATGATAGGGGATCTAATTGGATGAATGATGCTTCAAAGTCTAGCTATTGACTTTTGAATTACTAAATTAAATACAATAAATACATTACCAGATTTTAACAACTAAATTATTAAGATTTTAACAACTAAATTTTTAAACATCCTTTAAATCTTTAACACTCACATGAAACATCATCGTCAAAATTCTTTATTGAAACAATATGTTTATCTTTTTTTTTTTTGCTAACATATTAAACATTAAAATGCCAAATAAAACTCAACACTATGAAAGGTTGCAAATCATCAACCTCAGGGATGGATGTTAAAATAAAACCTCAACATTAGTTACTTAAGTCAAAACTATTAAACCTTGTGCATCTCTCAAATGGATCCAATTACATCTCATTTATGGCTTCCGAGTTTGAGAGACATATGTAACTACTTAACCCCAAGATATTCGGTGTGATGTCCCAATTATCAATTTTATTAGTAAAGAAAGTTTTTTTTATAGCCTACTAATGTAATTATAAAATATTGTATAGTCTTTAAAAAATTTACAACACCTTAATTAGTCATTAAACATATTTTGCATCCTTATTCATATTTATATTGGTATTTTACGTGAGTCCAAACCGTAATTAAACATTGTTTACTAACATACATTTATTTCTACTATAGTAGTTTTATAACTTTATTCTTATTTTTTCAAAATTAGACTAATATAATGGCATCATGTAGAAGAGATTCATATGAATGAACCTGGAGAGAATAGTGAACATGATAGTGATGGGCACTATCAGAGCTAGAGAGCTTATGTGGGCGAACTATAAGGAAGTCACAAGAGTGTCACCTAAAGGTCACCGTGTTGTTCTCAAAATCTCAAAATTCATGTACTATCATTCCTAAAGTTTTCTTCATCCTTTTGTCCTAACAACTTATTTTTCTTTTGAATGAATTAATCACTTATTTGAACCTCTTGGATTTCCTTCTATAAGTCAATAGTGACTTGAATGGAGTTTGATTTTATTCTATCATAACCTAATGTAATTGATAAATTTAAGTCTATAAATTTTTTTTAACAAACTCATTTTTGAAGACATTCAAAGATTTTCTGCTTAAAGTGTTTACTACGTACTACATTTACCTTCTCTGAGTGATAATGTAATTAAAAATCATAATCTTTTAAAAGTCTCATCCATCTCCTTTGTCTCATATTTTACTCATTTTGATCAAACATATATGAAACCCATGATCATTAAAACCTCAAACTTACCATCATAGACATAATCTCTTTACTAAGATAGTTTTACAAAATTATTAAATATTTCTTTTCTCTATTTATTTAGATTTCATTATTTCAAAAAAAAAGTTTTCTTTTTATTTGTTAATGAATAATGTGAAATAATATTAACTATTTTTGTAACTATGTCTATAAATTTGAAAAAAAAAATTCATTTTAGAAAGTCAAAAGTTAAAATTCATTTAAATATATGTGAAATAATTAATTGTACCCTTTAAAGTAAAATCAAAAGGAATATCATTGTTGATATAAATATTGTTACAGAATAATAAACAGTTAAATTTAGTTAAATAACATTAAATTATGTCATATGGAAATCTCACATTGAAGAATAATATTGATTCCACTACGATTACCCATTGATTGAAAGTTGATGCTCAATTATGCATTACTCCCAAAGGTACCCCTCATTCCTCTTTAAAACAAATTTTTCATTTCTACGAAATATGTTTTGAAATTTGGAAACATGCCAAATTATTATGCACCAATGATACTCAATGTCTTTATGATTTTTGTCATGATCTTCTCAATGTTGTTGCTCCTCGACATCAGGATTCTATGACTAATTATATGGGTAAAGTTCATGCTCTTTTCATGAATTTAATGAATTATTGCCTCCTGCCTCTACTCTTGTCAAATAAATAGAGCAACGGTCATAGTTCTTCATGCTACTAGCATTACACGACCTTGTTGATGAGTATTCTCATATTCGTGATCATGTTTTTGGTTCACCTGTTGTTCCCACTTTGACTTCTACTTGTTCCACTCTTTTGCATATACCTAGTAAACCCATCAATGATACATATGTTTCCTCTACGTTGGCATCTCAACGTCATTATCACAATCACTCTCGCAAACCGGGAAAATGATGTCTCAAGTGTAAGCGTTGTGCAAGCTAGGCCACACGATTGACAAGTGTTATGCATTACATGGTCGCCCTCCTAGATCTGTTGTTATTGTTTAGACTACTCATCCGTCACAATCACCTACTAGGATCCTCGTTCATTTGATATTAGTGATGACTCTGTTATTTTCATTAAATTTCTCAAAAGGTATAAGGATCAACAACCTTCTAGTTCTACTGCATCTGTAGCACACACATGTACATCTTTATTTGGTATGAGTTCATATTCTCTTGGTTCTTGGGTTCTTTACTCGAGAGCCATATATCACATTATTGGTAACAAATCTTTGTTTTCCTCTTTGTCCTCTTTGTCCTCTTTGAATCCTTTACCTTCTGTTACAATAGTTGAGGGATCTGGAGTTTTAGCTCATGGTGTTGGGACTGTTAACATTTTTCCTTTTTTATCTATTGATAATGTTCTTTATGTCCTTAGGTTTCCTTTTAACTTATTATCTGTTAGTTGTCTAACTCGTCTTTTGATTGTGATATTTCTTTTAACAAATATTCTGTTTGTTTATAGGATTGGAGTTCGAGACAAGTGATTGACACCGGATGTGAGTCCATGGTCTTTATCATCTTCGCTCCTCTATACATATTGACACAATTATGGAGTCTCCATCTCTTCTTCAAGCTCAGTTAGGTCATCCCAGTCTTGCCAAATTGCAACAACTTGTTCCTAGCTTATCCAAGTTGTCCAATTTGGTCTGTGAGTCGTGTCAATTAGAAAAACATATTCGTAGTTCCTTTTCGCGTGGTGTCTCACAACGTGCTTCGTCCCATTTTTCCTTAGTCCATTCTGACATTTGGGAACTTAGTCGTGTTAAGTCTAGTTTAGGTTTTCAATATATATTTCGGTACTTTTATTGATGATTTTAAGTACTTCGCTATTTTTAATGAAAAATCGTTCTGATTTATTGTATCTTTTTCAAACCTTTTATAATGAAATTAAAACTCAGTTTGGTGTTTCTATTCAAACTTTGCATAGTGATAATGGTCGTGAATATCTTTCCCATTATCTTCAACAATTTATGGCTTCTCATGACATTCTCCATCAAACTTCATGTGCTTATACACCTCAACAAAATGGGGTGGTTGAGCGCAAAAATAGACATCTTGTTGAAACAACTCGTACTATTTTAATTCATGGTAACATTCCTCAATATTTTTGAGATGATGCTATTCCTACTACATGTTATCTCATTAATCGCATGCCCTCTTCTGTTTTAGATAATAAAATACGTCATTCTATCTTATTTCCTGATGAACTCCTTCACTCCTTTACCTCTAAAAGTTTTTGGGTCTATATGTTTTGTTCATAATTTTAGTCCTGGTCTTGATAAGTTAGCTCCTCGATCACACAAATTTATTTTTTTAGGCTTTACTAAATCAAATAAAGGATACAAGTTTTTTTCTCCTTCTCTTGATCGTTATTTTATTTCTTCAGATGTCACATTGAATGAGTCTTCCTTTTATTTTAACGATCATTCTTCTTCTAATATGTCTCCTTCTAATAATATCAATATTCTTGTTATTTGTGCTCCTTCAATTGTGCGTTCACTAGGTGTTTCTCAAAAATATAAAGTGACTCAATTCGAGTGCGAACTACCTTTCCTCCTCCGGTTTTGACAACTGGGTCTACCCTTCCAATTGCTCTCCGAAAAGGTATATGTTATACTCGTAATCCCTCTCCACATTATCTTACTTTAAGTTATCATAGACTATCTTCACCTTTTTATACCAGCCTTTTGTCTATTTTTTCTATGACCATCCCAAAATTTGTTACTAATGCCTTAGCCCATCCTGGTTGGCGTTAGGCCATGCTCGATGAACTAAGTGCTCTTAAGAGTAGTAGAACTTGGGAGCTTGTTCCATTACCATTTGAAAATCCGTTGTTTGTTGCAGGAGGTTTTTTGCTATCAAAGTTGGTCTTGATGGAACTATTGATCACCTCAAAGCACGTCTTGTGACCAAAGGTTACGAACAAATTTTTGGGTTGGATTATGGTGATACTTTTTCTCTGGTGGAACAAAGATGACATCTGTTCGTTTATTTATAACCATGGTTGCTCTTTAACAATGACTTTTTTATCAATTGAATGTCAAAAATGCATTCCTTAACGAAGATTTGCAAGAGGAGATTTATGTGGTGCAACTTTCAAGATTTGTTAATCAAGGAAATTGTTCTGGGTTGGTATATCCTTTTTGCAAATCCTCATATGGCCTAAAACAATCTCCTAAGGCCTGGTTTGGAAAATTTAGTAATGTTGCTCAACTATTTGGTATGACTCAATGTGAGGCAGATCATTCAATCTTTTACCATCACTCGAGTGTTAGATCTGTCTACTTGATAGTATATGTTGATGACATTGTTCTTACAGACAGTGATAGTCATAACATCTCTAAATTGAAACAACATCTTTGCAACCATTTTCAGACCAAAGATCTTGGCAAACTTAA